CTCACGATTTTGATTGAAAAAAAACAATTAATTAAACAAATAAATATCAAACAAAAGAAAATTAAAAAAAAATCTCACGATTATAGCTATCTAAATTATTCACGATTTTGATTCAAAACTAAAAAAGTGAGATTTTTGAGACAAACCTTTCTTGTTCCAAGAGATTGTTACTTTAGGAGCTCCAAACCCAAATCTTCAATCACAGCTGCAATCTCATCTCTACCGATTATATCTTTAGGATTAAACTCTTGCACATATCAAACAATTCTGATGTATCTTCAACCATAAGCTCTAATTCCAATTCCATCGGATTTTTACCTCCTCGAATCCTTCGTAATGCCGATAACATAAATACAATCTCCAGATCGAATCTATTCACTTCCAGATCGAATCACGGCTTCTTTAGCGGTGGATTTTTTACAGAGAGAGGAGACGGCAAAAAGGTTTGGCTCTTTTATTTTCTAAAGCTACGGAAAGATTATTATTTTCATTAAATATAATTATGCGAAATATATATTTAAATCTTATCACTACATATTCATTACAATTAAATAAGTTTGAAAAAAAATTTGTTTCCTATGACCAAAAAAAGAAACATATATTTGTTTCCATTAAATAAGTATTTTAAANGATTTGATTAGTTATAAATAAACTAGAATATTTTTATCNTCATAATACGATCCTCCAAGATTATGCTAAAACAAATAATGATCCTCCAAGATTTCCTAAACTACTTATATTTCGTTGCATAGGCAAATATTTCATGAATCTAAACTTTAAAAAATTAAATTCATATTAAAAAATACAAATCAATATACCTCAATATAATTCTTTCGGATCCTTTTTTTTCATTTGTTTCAGTTACTAACTTACTTATTTTTAGGATGATTTTAAATCAAATACAATCTTTTTATTCTGATACAATTTGAAAACTCTCTACATTCAACCCCTTATATATACCTTGTCATTTTTCTCACCCATTTCAATCATAACTTTTGTTCATTAGCGATTTCCATACATTTAACGTTTACTTTTCATGGGTTTTTCTATAATTAGAATAGTTTTTATTGATTCAAGCTACTATAGTTTTGTTATTGCTTGATTATATTATTATGTTGCTCCAGCTTTTACTATATAGCTCTA